TGATGGCCGATTTTTTTATTTCAGTTGTGGGACTGAGGTCTCTTTTTGTGCTGGCTACCAGCTGGGGGCTGGTCTTTCCTCCTAGAGGCTGCCCACATTACTTCTGATGCTTTCTGTGTGTCCCTCATTGAACAACAAACAGTAGGTCAGGTCCTCTGATGCTTTAAATCTCTTTGACCTCCACTTGCATCACATCTCTCTCACACCAGTGGGAGAAAGTTTTCTGAAACGCATGTGATTAGATTAGATCCACCTGGACAATCCAGGAAAATCTCTCTATTTTAAGGTCTATAACTTTGACGACATCTGCAAAATCTCTTTTGCCATTTAAGGTAGCATGGTCATAGGTTCCACAGATTAGGGCATGGACATCTTTAGAAGGCAATTCTGCTACCAGGAGTAGGCGAAGAAGCTACATGAGAAGTGACATTCTGACTTTAGGATAGTGGTTATCTACGGGTAGGGAGGAATAGATTAGAGAATGGCATAAAAAAGACTTCAGTTCTATAATTTCCTACTTCTGAAAATTGGAATCCTAAGTAGAGGAAGGGCAAGTCTGGAAGAGCAAGGTTTCTGAGGAAGTAGAACAATCTATCTAAAGCACAGATAGAGGCATTTTTGAATTGAGAAGATGTCTTTTCTATTGTATTAGTCACTTGGACTGCTATAGCAAAACACCATAGTCTGAGTGCCTTAAGCAACATAAATCTATATGCTCAGTGTTCTGGAGGCTGAGAAGTCCAAGATCAAGGCATGTCACTTCCTGGCTTGTAGATGGCCACCTCCTCACAGTGTCATCATGGGGCAGGGACACACACACACACACACACACACACACACAGCTCTCATGTCTCTTACAAAGGCATTAATCCCATCCCATTAGACTCATAACAAGAAGACAGAAGGCAGTGTATTGATTATCTTAGGAGTATCAAACAAAAAATAACTCCCTGTTAGAAGTCTGTGCCAGTAGTAAATCCTTTAAGAATTAAGGTGAAATATATATATATATATATATATATATATAAATATGAATATATATAAATATAAATATATATATATTTCACCTTAATATTTCAGTCTTTTAGTGATATATATATATCACTAAAATATATGTATAGTGATATATATAGTGATATATATATCACTAAAAGACTGATATATATATATCAGTGATATATATATAGATATATAGTGATATATATAGATATATAGTGATATATATTTCACTAAAAGACTTGCACTAAGGGAAAATTTAAAAGGAGGCCTTCAAGGAGAAAGAAAATGCTCATAGATGGATGTTCTTGTTTTCTTCTTACCTATCTTCTGAGTCACTAAAATTTCTTCTGCTTTGTCTGTTTTGTGTCAAAGGTATCCAATGCAATCTCAGTTTCAGCTATCAAGAGTTTCAGTCCTAGACGCAGAAAAGTTGAGCAAACAACCAAAAGGTAAATATGTGGGTAGATTGAATTATTATTGATTGCCTAATAATAACATCATATATATAATAGTCACTCTTTTTAATACATCTACTAATTAAATACATGACAATATTGGCAAGGTGATCTAAAAATAAACTGTGAGTTACTTAGCTTCACTGGGAATTCCCAGTGGAATCAGCTAGTAAGCATTTGTAGCTAATAAGCCTAGCATTTGCTTCGGGCTGAGCTTTCTAATCAGGACGGGCCTAGCTGCCCCCAGGGTTTTCAGGTCATACTCTGCCATCTCTTTGGCCAACTTAACCCAGCAGCCTTTCTGAATGGCTAGACCTGAACCTCCTTTGTTAGCATGGTGCTTGGTACTATATTAACAGGCATAGAGAAATGATTGTGTAATTATGCTTGGGGAAGTATGAAAGAAGTTGCTGTTAAGAATTTGAAGGTTTCTAGTTTTCCTTTCTTTGTAGTTTTGGAGTTGTTACAGGATAAGAGCAAAAATGTCCAACTTCAGAAAAGCTTTTTAAAGTCTTTGCTTGCAGGAGCTTTTGAGGAATGAACTTACATATTTCTCTTTATGCAAAAAAGGTCTTAAAAAATAATGTCAGCTCACAAGAGTAGACAGTTATGGTACATTTTCTCTTCTCTGAATTTCTCCCAAGTTCAGAGGCACACCCACCGACTCAGAAAAACAGGATACATTGTGCACCGGGAAAAGACAGAAGCATGGTAATGTTTTCCCTCTGTCCTTTCAGGATTTTCCCTGCTACTTCGTCCCCCTCTGTTTCCACCGCTTCCTGTCATTCCTCATCAGGTACTTCCTTTCCCTATCAGTCCCCTTTGTTTTCCTGCGCTGGAGGTGTCTAAGAGTCCCCTCCCCGCTCTCTCGATATGGTGCTCATTTCTGTTACCTAAGATGTTTTGGTCTGTTCCTTTGGTCTGTTACTCTTCTTCCTTTTGGGAAAATGAACCTTGGATTGGGGGGTGAAGAAAAGAGAATTTGATGTCTTCAGCACTATACTCAAGTTAGCAATTAAGACCTCACCACTTTGCAGGGGAGTTATTGTTCGATTCCATTGTACAAACAGCACAATTGAGACAAGATCTCTTTCCTATATCTTGTTTCTTATTTCTGGTTCTGAAAGCCCACATTATGCCAGAGACCTGGAAGTCTGGGGAGGCTAATACTTGAGAGCTCACCTCAAGGGGTGGGAGGAGATGAGGATATCAGCGATCGACTCTGGGCACTTTGTGACTCAAAAAGAACTGTCTCCCAGAACTCCAACCATATAAGATTCTGAAACTAATCGTATCTTTAATTATAGATATCCCCTGTAATTATATACTCCTATGTATATGGAAGTGCAGAATAGAACAAGACACACTGCTTTGGGGCAAACCTGTCCAACTGGTGAAATTCTTCTCTACTACCTTTGCTATATCTGGATTAATGCAAGCCCAGGGTGTCTAAAATCCCTTACTGGTCCCCAGTTGGTCTGTTCTCTGAGAGCCAAAAACCCCAGACTATTCTCTTCCTGAGCCACATTCATTCACATAGTCATCCTTCATCAATGTATTCATTTGTCTCTTAAAATAATATATTTGGAGCAACTTTTGTGACTGTCTTTCTTTTTTTATTTTATTTTTTAATCTAGGAATTGCTTGAGAGCAACTTTGCTAGATTCTTTTGTATGTCTCATTCTTAAAAAAAGTTCCTCTCAGGCAGGCCTTTTTGGGAAAGATCTAGTCAGCTGACTCCAGCTGATCGTATCAATAACTAAACACAGAGTGGTGGCATTCGCAGAGCTGTTTCCATTCTAAATTTGGATTCAGAGTCTGAATGGATGAAGCATTGAGGACAGTGAAATTGCAGCACCAGGTTAAAAAAAAAAACAAGAGATGACTTTATTTATTCCTGTAGCCCCTTGAATAATGCTAACACAGTGTACATTTTTCTGTGAGGAAGTCTGGCCCTGACAGGGTACAATTTCCAAATTTGCCCTTTGTGAATAAGTCCTTTGTAAGATTTTCACTCTTTGGCCTTTATTTCTAAAGGAGAAATTCCCCCCACAATTTAAGAAGTTTCTAGTACTGATGAATGGGGCTGCATCTGGAGACAAGTGGAAAAGAGGAGACCTTTCTTTTTGCTGTCCTCCAAATTATAATGAGTGATGTGGTTCTCTGTCTACATTTCTTGGTTTGATTCCCTGCCTTTCCAGCATCTTCTGCCAATGATGTGATGTTCTCAGAAAGAATCCAGGTTGCTCTAGCTAGAGCTACACTGGTGAGTAAAAGAAAAACAATTAAAATAACATGGAAAATGCATTCTCCACATGACAGAAGTATTTAGGTTTTTAGAAATAATACACACGATGTAGCTTTTAATTTTCCTCTTTTATGAATCAAGGAAGAGGTCTATAAACAACAGGAATTTTCAAGCTCCCAACTTCATCATTCTCACGCTGACATTGAGACTTATGGGTCTGGATCCCTAGATCTGAAAAAGCTTTTCTTTAATTCTGTGCTGCTTATTGTTAAACTGGGTAAGGAATGCAAGTAGTGTGGACTCGATTCCTAGGAATGGCATTATTGCTGGGTGGTGTTTGGATAAACAACGATAGAGAAACCGTAAGTCCTTTGAGAATTGAATGTGCCTGTTTCGCAGTATGAACGCAAGAGACAGAGCAGAATAGGAAGGGCCAAAATGGTGTAGTCGGTAGTGCTGAAGAGTTCTCCTGAGTCTGTGATTTTAATCTGGGCTGTCAGTGCAGAGTAGGAAAAAAAGATCATGCTTTAGAGTTAGCAGGTAGTTTATGTTTACAAATGCATGAAGATATAGACAAGATCTGAATCTGAACAGTTCACATGTAAATTACGTTTAAACGAGGCATGGAGATTATAAATGGAGTATGTTCCCATATTGACCGACAGTTTCTCATGATCAGTTACAGAGCATTGGAGGTCTCTCTGTGCTGCCTTCTCTCTGATTATTTCCCTTTCTCCATACTCTGCAGCTCTCCAACCATGGTCCCTTTTCACTTTCCATGACTGACCTCACTTAAGAATTTATTTAAAAAGTAAAATTCATTGGATGGAAATTACTTCCTCCCCAACACCAAATCTGCCAACCTCCTGATGTCTGAAGGATGATGTAAACACGCTCCCACCTAAGGCTGTGCTCTACTTCTGCTCTCGCACTCTCAGAGATGCCATTTCTACAATTTTTATCTTATTTTTCCTTCAAGCTCTCCCTGTTAGATCATTATCAATAGTTTACAGATGCTCCCTAGTAGCCTTAATAATAAAACAACAGCAACAACAAGCTCTGGAACATTAAAGAAAGAACATAAAGGTGGAAAGAGAGTGGATCTAAGGTTGGGTCCTGCAGGAAAGATGATCATGGGTTTAGGAAATCTAGGGGCAGAGTAGTTTATCATTTCTGCACATGAATGTTTGGGTAAGCAGGAAACTCTGTGAATGGTAAAGAGGGTTAAAACACTTAGGTATTTGTTAGGCATAAGAAAAGGTTTCACTCAATTTATTTATCTCATTCCAAAGAAAATACTGAAGGCAATGAGAAACCACAGTGTTGTCCCCGAGTTTGTCCTTCTTGGGCTGTCTGCTGGCCGCCAGACTCAGTCTCTGCTCTTCGTGCTGTTCCTGGTGATTTACCTCCTGACTGTCATAGGGAACCTGCTGCTGGTGCTGGTGATCAGTGCTGATTCTTGCCTCCACACACCCATGTACTTCTTCCTGGGACAACTGTCCTTCTTGGATCTCTGCCATTCCTCTGTCACTGTACCTAAAATGTTGGAGAATCTCCTGTCTGAGAAGAAAACCATATCAGTAGAGGGCTGCATGGCGCAGGTCTTCTTCGTGTTTGCCACTGGGGGCACTGAATCCTGCCTGCTTGCTGTGATGGCCTATGACCGCTATGTTGCCATCAGCTCTCCTCTGCTCTATGGCCAAGTGATGAACAGACAGCTGTGTGCAGGGCTGGTGGGGGGCTCATGGGGCTTGGCTTTTCTGGATGCCCTCATCAATATCCTTGTAGCTCTCAATTTAGACTTCTGTGAGGCTCAAAATATCCACCACTTCAGCTGTGAGCTGCCCTCTCTCTACCCTTTGTCTTGCTCTGATGTGTCTGCGAGTTTTACCATGCTGCTCTGCTCCAGCTTCCTGCATTTCTTTGGAAATTTTCTCATGATATTCTTGTCTTATGTTTGCATTTTGTCCACCATCCTGAGGATCAGCTCCACCACAGGCAGAAGCAAAGCCTTCTCCACCTCCTCCTCCCACCTCACTGCAGTGATTTTCTTTTATGGCTCTGGATTACTTCGCTATCTCATGCCAAATTCAGGGTCCATTCAAGAGTTGATCTTCTCCTTGCAGTACAGTGTGATCACTCCCATGCTGAATCCCCTCATCTACAGCCTGAAGAACAGAGAAGTGAAGGCAGCTATGAGAAGAACATTGAGAAAATATTTCTAGTGTTTCAATAGACGTATGAAGTCAGAATGACAAGGGAATGGGATAGATCTGCGGTAAGCAGTGCCTGGATACTAAGAGAATTCATTGATATCAAGATCTCCAAGGCCCTTTTCTGAAAAATACTTAAGAAATGGTAGAAAATTTACCTTTTCTGAAAAATATTTAAGAAAAGGTGGAAAATTGTTTTCATGGGATGATACCAGTTCAGTCCTAGTCAGAGGAAGATGGCTAAGATAAACCTCTTGCTTAGCAATTTTTTCTTACAAAGATATGTATGTATTATTCACAGTATGGTAAATATTGCTATCATCTGCTCAGCTTATCTCTACCATTCTTCTAATAACTGAACTCCACAGTTCAATATGCTTCCAAGAGACACTGTTAATCATGGAATCCCCAAATCCTCTCCACCCTCACCTCCCCACCCCCCACCCCCATCATTATTCACTCATTCTTGCTGGCACGGTGGCTGGTCCAGAAAAAGCCACATAGTCAATGCCAGATCATTTACTCTTCTTAGGATTGTTTCTTTCCGTTGAGAAAGCCTCTCTTGGTTGCCCAGGCTGGAGTAAAGTGGCAAGGTCTCAGCTCACTGCAACCTCTGCCTCCCAGCTTCAAATAATTCTCCTGCCTCAGCCTCCCGAGTAGCTGGGACTACTATCTTAGGAATTTTAATCTTGAGGAGAGAGTCGGAGATCAGCCTTTCTGTATGCCTATGCAAGTGCTCCTGCTGATAAGATCATTAGAGTTATCCTAGATTCTGTCCTTTCAAGGCCAGCTTTATAAACACGAATCATAATGAGAGCCCATTCTTAGATATTTGTATCGTATCAGGCACTGTGTTAAGCAATTTATATACTTCATTCCATTTGAATGCTACAACACATACATTAGGTAAATGCTTAAGTTATTCCTATATCAGAGAAGAAGAAGCTGGTTCAGGGAGATAAGTCATGGTGTTGGAATTTGGAACCAAACGGACTTGCACCAAGGCCTGTTTTCTTTACTACCACCTTGATACACGGACCATCCCATTGAGGTTATGAGCTACACTAGACTCCAAACATGATTTATTGTTGTTGTCTTATTTTATTTTGCTTAAGTCAGAATTAGATTCTGTCATTTGCAAGAAAAGGACCTAAAAGATAAATACTGGTACCACAATAGAATTGCAAGCATAGACATCCAAGGACAATTGGGATATTTGAAATTGTGTTTTGGACCTAGGCATGTCCCATAGAGACTATAAATAACATATTTGTTTATTCTGCTTCAAACTTTCCTCCAATAGCCAACCGTCTGTAGCTGTGAGGGGACCTGTGTATGACAAGAGACAATCTGCAGCTCATACACATTGCTAGACAAGTGGCTCTGCCTCTTGGCCCTAATGATGCTGTAGAAATGGCAGCCATGAGAGAGCCCAATGGCAGAGGAAGGACTGGGCAGGGCCTGTGGCAAACTTCAAAAAGAAGCCAGAAATATTTAAGCAAAGACCACTTAGATCATGAAATGCAATGGGAGGATTAATAAGTGGATTTGAGAGAGGCATGTGGACTGAAATTACCATGGTCCAAAATTAGTTATTCTGTCTGAAATTACTTTTTAGTTTTTATTTATTTACAAGCTGGCAACTGTCACCCTTCCCTTCACCTTGTACTCCTCAGCATCAAAGAATATAAACTTTAAGAGAACAAGGACATTTTTCTGCCATTTTTACTACCTTCTCAAGAATATTTTAAAATGCTTCTAACATGCTTGTTGCACAATAACTATATTTTGAATGTATAAGTTATGGAACAAAAACTGAGTAATCCATTTAGGGTAAGTTCTCACCAGAGGGATCCCACTGCTAAAGCAGTTCAAAGTAGTTTTTTGTATAGAATCGCTTACCATGCAAATGCCAGTCTTTCCTTCCTGGTCAGCCTAGTTCTGGCCCGTGATTGCACAAGCACCTTAGCTGTGGCTGAGCAAGGTGGTGGTTATGTAAACAGCAACATTTTCTTTCATTCACCAAGGCTGATCTGCTGTTGCTGTTGGTGAAAGGTATTTTGATAAACATCACACATAAATTTTGCCAGATATATTACCAGATATCGTCTATTTTTTGTTCCTATTGTGAATTAAAAATTCAGATATATTTACTACTTGTTTATTTCTAATGAATAGAAGTGTTGTGGTATTTTGTACATTGATCTTGTATCTGTCAATTTTGTTGGACTTTCTAGTACTAGTGTCTGGTTTATAGATATTATTGGATTTTAACATGACATTTTAATTATTTTATCTTAAATTAGGGAAAGTTTTTTTTGTATGTAATTTTTCTATATCTCACTTTTAAAGTTAATGCAGCAGCTGGGACCTCCAGTATAGATATCTTTCTGTTGGGATCACTGAGAAAGCTTCTCGTGTTTCAGCAGTAAGGATGATGTTCTATTTTTGATGAATATCTTTAAGTTATTAAGATAGTTCTTTTTTGTTTGTTTGTTAGTGTTTTCTGAACCTATGGATTATATTGAAAGGAGAGTTCTTTTCTAAACATATTTTGCTAAGAATTGGTATGAGATTTTATCACATGCTTTTTCTGTTTCTATTGAGGACTAGGGTTGTTTCTCTTTTGTTTACTACTGTATTGTTCAGTTATTAACTTCAAGGAGTCGAAGTTCCTATACACCAGCAACAGCCAAGCTGAGAGCCATATCAGCAATGCAATTCTACTCACAGTTACCACAAAGAACAAAATACCTAGGAATATAACTAGCCAGGGAGGTGAAAGGTATCTACAATGAGAATTACAAAACACTGCTCAAAGAAATCAGAGATGACAGAAACAAACGGAAAAACATTCCATGCTCACGGGTAGGAAGAATAAATATCATTACAATGACTACGTTGCTTAAAGGAATTTACAAATTCAATGCTGTTCCCAGCAAACTACCAATGACATTCTTTACAGAACTAGAAGCAACTATTTAAAAATTCATATGGAACCAAAAAGGAGCCCAAATAGCCAAGACAATCCTAAAAGCAAAAAGAACAAAGTTGGAGGCATGGTTTGACCTCAAACCATACTCCAGGGCTACAGTAACCAATGCAACATGGTACTGTTATAAGATACAGAGACCAGATAATGGAACAGAATAGAGAACCTAGGAAGAGGGCCTCAAACCTACAACTATCTGATCTTTGACAAGATAACAAAAAGAAGCAATGGAGAAAGGATTTCCTATTCAATAAATGGTGCTGGGGTAATTGGCTAGCCATATGCAGATGATTGAAATGGGACTCTTTTCTTGTACTACAAACAAAAACAATGCAAGACAGATTAAAGAGTAAAATGTAAAAACTCAAAACTATAAAAACCTGGAAGTTAATTTTTGTATGAGATATAAGGAAGGGGTCCAGTTTCAGCTTTCTGCATATGGTTAGCCAGTTTTCCCAACACCATTTATTAAACAGAGAATCCTTTCCCCATTGCTTGTTTTTGTCAAGTTTGTCAAAGATCAGATGGTTGTAGGTGTGTGGCATTACTTCCGAGGCCTCTGTTCTGTTCCATTGGTTTACATCTCTGTTTTGGTACTAATACTGTGCTGTTTTGATTACTGTAGCCTTCTTGTATAGTTTGAAGCCAGGTAGCTTGATGCCTCCAGCTTTGTTCTTTTTGCTTAGGATTGTCTTGGCTATGTAGGCTCTTTTTTGGTTCCATATGAAGTTTAAGGTGGTTTTTTTCCGGTTCTGTGAAGAAGGTCAATGGTAGCTTGATGAGGATAGCATTGAATCTATAAATTACTTCAGGCAGTAGGATCATTTTCATGGTATTGATTCTTCCTAACCATGAGCATGGAGTGTTTTTCCATTCGTTTGTGTCCTTTCTTATTTCATTGAGCAGTGGTTTGTAGTTCTTCCTTGAAGAGGTCCTTCATGTCCTCTGTTAATTGTATTCCTAGGTATTTTATCCTCTTTGTAGCAATTGTGGGTGGGAGTTCGCTCATGATTTGGCTCTCTGTTTGTCTGTTATTGGCATATAGGAATGCTTGTGATTTTTGTACATTGATTTTGTATCCTGAGACTTTGCTGAAGTTGCTTATCATCTAAAGAAGGTGGATTAAAGATTTAAACATAAGACCTAACACCATAAAAACCCTAGAAGAAAACCTAGGCAATACCGTTCAGGACATAGGCATGGGCAACCACTTCATGACTAAAACACCAAAAGCAATGGCAACAAAAGCAAAAATTGACAAATGGGATCTAATTAAACTTAAGGGCTTCTGCACAGCAAAAGAAACAATCATTAGAGTGAACTGGCAACCAACAGAATGGGAAAAATTTTTGCAATCTACCCATCTGACAAAGGACTAATATCCAGAATCTACAAAGAACTAAAACAAATATGCAAGAAAAACACAAACAAGCCCATTCAAAAGTGGGCAAAGGATATGAAAAGACTCTTTACAAAAGAGGCCAACAAACATAGGAGAAAATGCTCATCATCACATTTGATTTGCATTAGAAAAATGCAAATCAAAACCACATTGAGATAACATCTCGCACCAGTTAGAATGGCAATCATTAAAAAATTAGAAGACGACAGATGCTGGGGAGGATGTGGAGAAATAGGAATACCTTTACACTGTTGGTGGGAGTGTAAATTAGTTCCACCATTGTGGAAGACAGTGTAGCGATTCCTTAAGGATCTAGAAATAAAAATACTATTTCCCAGCAATACCATTACTGGGTATGTACCCAAAGGATTATAAATCGTTCTGTTATAAAGACACATGCACATGTATGTTCATTGCAGCAGTGTTTACAATAGCAAAGACCTGGACCTGGAACCAACCCAAATGCCCATCAATGATAGACTGGATGAAGAAAATGTGGCACATATATACCACGGAATACCATGCATCCATAAAAAAGGATGAGTTCATGTCGTTTGCAGGGACATGGATGAAGCTAGAAACCATCATTCTCAGCAAACTGACACAAGAACAGAAAACCAAACACTGCATGTTCTCACTCATATGTGGGTGTTGAATAATAAGAACACATGGACACAGGGAGGGGAACATCACACACTGGGGTCTGTTGGGGGGTGGGGGGCTGGGGGAGGAATAGCAGGGAGTGAGGAGATTGGGGAGGGATAATATTAGGAGGAATACCTAATGTAGGTGATGCGGGGATGGATGCAGTAATCACGATGGCATGTGTATACTTATGTAACAATCCTGCACGATCTGCACATGTACCCCAGAACTTAAAGTAAAAAAAGAATCTTGGAAGACAACCTAGGCAATACCATTCTGGACATAGGAACTGGCAAAGATATCATGATAAAGATGCCAAAAACAATTGC